CCCCCCCCCCTAAGTTAATAAAGCCATTAAGAAATTTTTGTTTATTAACGAATTTTTACGCAAATACTATCTTAAAGAATTAATGTATACTTTCATCTTTACAACTGCACAATTTCAAAGCGTAAAAATTACAATCTAGCACCAGCATATGAGCTTTATCACGTCAAAAATGATAGAGCAAAAAAAAAAAATGAAATTAAGTAAGCACTTTTGAAAAGTACAATGAAAAATGATAATTAGCGAAAGGTCAGAGGCTCAAATTTTAATTTTCAATTACCAATTTGCATACTGATTTCTGAGGTGAATATGAAAAAATATTTGAATAATGATTATTTATATAAATTTTGCCCAGAAATCATGCACTCGAAAATCATGTCAATAACGTTAAACCCCTTAAAACCAAAGTATAACAAAAGTCTAAAAATAAAATTGTTCGTCTTTAATCATGCCTTCTAGGAATTCTGACCGGACTTTCACGTCAAACATCACTTTAGTGAAACGATCGCTGTCGACAGTTTGTGCGCTTCAACTGCGTTGACTTTCGGGTGGTAACAACGCACCCTGATTCCGTGTAGGGAGAATCTCAAACACTATATACTTGTGGTCGCGTTTCGTCACTCATCAGTTAGGACCCGATTTAGGAAGATAAGATCCTTTTTCAGAGGACCAAATCGCATTTTTCCGAAATTTATTTAATATCGCTAATATGTCATTAATTCCTAGTCCAGTGTAGAGTGCTTCAGATAAAAAAGTGCAAGAGAGTTTTTTGTTCAAAATTCTCCAAATTTTCAGAAAAAATATTTTTAGTTTTTTTCATTTCTTTACAAGGAAGCTCTTTGCCAATAAATTGGCAGCGATTTTTTTAATTTGTCAATAAAACAAAACATGTATTCATACATGCATTGATTAAATGCATAAGCACGAGAAAGAAAAATAACTCAACGTAGTCAAGTCGGTGAGCTACGCAGACTGTCGTTGCTTTTGCTCTTTTGTTGCCTCATATGCGTAAATAGTCATCTGCGCGTGCGAGAGCGAAAGAGAAAAAGATATACTACCAAAGTGGCGCTCGCTCGGACGGTCGTTTTTCATGGGTTTAACCTTCATACCAAACGCCGCTAAAAATGTTTCACATCAATAATTATTTCATACACCACAATTTAAATAATATTTATTGTTGGGTTTTCACTGATCGGTGGAAGGATAAGGTAAATTGGGGGAAATGCTAGCTCGGGGAAGATGCCACTTTGCTATATTTTTGTAAGATACACGCAAAAAAATTAAAATGAATAAACCATAGCAATCTATGATAATAAGATTGCATCAAAATTAAATAGCTGCTTTCTCACTTTTATTATCAGTCGATTTTCGAGCGTTAAAGGATATGGTCTTGTTTGCTCCGAATTTTTTGTAAATTTCAGTGTGTAATTATTTTTTATAATTATAATTATTTTTTTATCCTATGAATATGTGTTAATTGATAATTATAAATGTTGCCGTAAAGATTACTTTGGTGCAGTGGCACAAACTTAGTGGCACAGCACAAACAAGTGCAGTTGTTCACCCAAATTCGTGGTTCCTCGACGTAGTGAGCAACGTTCAAATTTTAATTTAAACGGTTATTTTAAAAATATATTGGATTAAATAAAAATGAATTACATTATACGATTATTTTTTGATATGTATTATGAGTTATCAGTTCATTGTGTGAAATAATTCTTTATATTTTTTTAGGATGCAGCTGGGTCCGGGTTAAGTAATGAATTTTTTGCCCGAGCTTGCCAAGAATGGAAAAAACGTTTATCTGAAGGTGAATTCACTCCCGAAAATCAACAAAAACTTAAATTGGAAATAGAAAAAAGTAAAACTAAATTAGATCCATGGAAAATTAAACATTTTGAGCCCGTTTGGGGAGAAAAGTGGGACATTCATAAACTTAAATCAAGATTACAAAGTCTTAAAGCACTTTCACGATACTCTAAAACATATGAATCAACTCTTTTACATTCCCAAACCGAATCGGATATAAATGAAATATTGAAAAACTTTTCTGATGGTGGGCCTGAAGATAGACTAGTAGAAAAAAATGAAAGAAACATGCTATCTTTTGTTCAATGCATTTCAAATCAGAATGATCCAATATCTTTTTGTGATCAAATAATAATGCCTAATTTCAATATTTCTTTGCATATTCTAAATGAGAACGAACTTGATGACGACGAAGACGATGATATCGAAGATGAAGATGAAGATGATGAAGGTGAACAACGGTTTGATGAAGATTATGAAGGACATGATGGCGATGAAGAGGATGAAGTAGAGTCTCACATTTCATTTAATTATACTGAAGAAAATGAAAACAATAATGATGATGCCATCGATAGTGCTCCATTTGAAAAAGAAAGTATGAAGCGGAATTCTTCAGATTTATCGGACTCGACTGAAATTTATAATTCAAAAGTTAATGCCTCCGACAGTATTAATGAGGTGGAAAACACAAAATCTTTCACAGTGTCGGAAAGTGAAAAATGTCCTTCTGTTCCTAACTCTCCAACCGAATTAGGTGAAAAAGTGAAGAATACATCAGAAGTTGAACATATATTACAAAATCGTAGTTTTTTTCAATGTTGTTCTAGTGATTTTATAAATGATCCTGAATCGACTAACAAAGAAAGTTCTATTAAAAATAAATTAGTTCATAGTATTCCTCCGAAAGATGACATGGAAATAGAAAAGGTATTCAAACGTGATTCACTAATTAATTTCAAACGCTATCTAAAATTTTGAATATTTTTTACTATAAATAATAAATTTAGGTCTATAAATTAATTATTTATATCAATTTTTATTTAGTTATGGAGTATGTGTTTTTTTCAATTTTTAAAAATCGAGAATGAAGAAAAACTCAGAACAAGCTTATTTGTAGATTTACATACTATTTTTTCACTTTTTTAAAAATCGTAGCTCCAGCGCGAAAACCGCATTAATAAACGCGAGAGGCAAAAACGTGCGCCTTAGTTATATTCTTTTGATATAGGGCAAAAATTCAGACTTGTTCTTTCATCAATTCCAAGACTTCTTTGTCCTATAAATTTTTTTCCTAAACTCAATAATTTTTACGATGTAAGAAAAATATTTTGTATCCTTATTTTGAATAAAATTCCAGAAAGGAAACTCAATTAAGAAAAAAGACTGAAATTTTACTTGTGGTGCTTTCATATATAAAATAGATTCCAGATAATCTAACTGCCAGAAGTGAAACTTCAGAGTCTTTTTCCTTAATTGAATTTTCTGTCTGGAATTTTATTCAACTTTTCTCGATTTTGAATGTTTGTTTTTCAATTGCGTTTTAGCTTGCTTGAATTTTAATTTTTTTAAATATTTTCAAGACTTCTTCGTTTAAAATAATCCTAAAATCCTAAAAAGTGGGTTTTAGGTCGAAAAATTTTAATTTTTCTTTTTGCAATTTTTTTACATTATCATTGCTCAAAAACTGTACTAGCAGGTGTTACCAATTTTTTAGGTGGTTTTTATAATTGCGCCAAACAGCGTCTTTTCGACAAGCTAGCGTAGTGATCCCATGTTAAAGTACTGAAATTTTAATGATTATATGTCAAAAACTGTAACGCTGAAGATTGTGAAATTTCTCCTACATATTAAAAGCATCTTTAACAATCCTGTGTGCTTTAAATTTCATGAGATTCTATAAATAGTAATTTTTTGAGGGAACTATGTTAAAATAATTTAACCCATTAAGTCCGGGACGGACACATTTTGGATACTCTTTTCAACCGTCGTACGTTCGCTATAAATGGGGTCTGGAGAACTTGCGAGTAAGTTTATTCTACGCAAAATTGAAATGAACTTTCAGAATACGGTGTCAGATTTTCTAAATAACAAACAGGTCTAAAGATAAGGCTGGTTTTATAAAAAAAAAACGTGATTTTGAAAACAATTTTTTGCCTCTTTTCAAATTTTCACATGAAAATCTTTTAAATCCTGGCGTCTTCGGTACAAATAAAACGTCACTGGGTCCTTCTCTTAAACTTATGATGGTTCCTATTAGTGAAATATGATTTCAAGTACAAAAAATGGCGACTGAAAAAAGAAAATATATAAGGAAATTTTTGGAATTTTTAGCTCAAAAACGATGGATTCTTAGTATTTATCAACAAACTCATTCATCAGTAAAAATTTTTCCTCGAATCCATCGTTTTTGAGTTGAAAATACCAAAAATTTCCTTACATACTTTCGTTTTCGAGTCGCCATTTTTTGTACTTAAAATCATATTTTACTAATTGGAACCGTCATTACTTTAAGAGAAGGACCTATGGACGCTTTATTTGTATCGAAGACGCCAGGATTTAAAAGATTTTCATGTGAAAATTTGAAAAAAAAAAAAATTTTTTTTAAAATCACGTTTTCTTTGATAAAACAATCAATACGTTTTGACCTGTTTGTTAAATCGAAAATCTGACACCGGATTCTGAAAGTTCATTAAATTTTGCTTTCTCGCCATTTCTCCAGACCCAAAATGGTATCCAAAAGGGTTAAAAAAGTATCCAAAATGTGTCCTTCCCGGACTTAATTGGTTAAGACAAAGATCCTGAAACAATTTCATTCTTTAAAAGCTGTACCTTAGCAACAGCTTAAACATTAACTTTAAATAATGCAATTTAATATTTTCACTGATTTTCAAACTTCTTGCAAGTGCAACTTATTGAATTAATTTTCTATTGTTACAGGGAGAAACTTCCTATCCTTGGACAATAGTAACTACGAATATGGAAACACTTTCTCCTTCAAATCTGAATACAACAGCATTGGATAAAATTTCAAATGAACAGTCAATTTTTTTTAGCAAGAAAGAAAATTCTCATGATTGTCAATCAGATGGTACTGAAGTTAATTCAAAAATTATGAAAAATGTGTCATACAATATGCCTGTGGCTCCATGCTTAGTAGAAAACATTCAATCCACTCAAAATCAGCCTTTGATAAATATTTCTCATGCTCAATCAATACATTTTTTGCAAAATAATCAACATTCGTATTCATTCCCGCATACGTTTTCTAATGTATTACACAAATCTAATTTTACTTCCGAAGAAACGATGACATTTTCTACTGACCAAAAAAATTTTCCTAATGACAGTGTTAATATTAGTGAGTGCCGGCTCGTAGAAAAAAGTCAACATATTATGATTCCAAAACGTTTCTTAACAGATCTTAATTTTGCCTCTATGAATTCTATGACATTATCAAAAAAAAGTTCGCTTCCAATTGAAAAAAAGCAGATAATCTCAGAAGTTCAAACCAAATCATCTCAACATTTATTAGCGCCAAGTGTACTTGACAAAACAAGTCGTCCTAAAAATTTGAATGCCACAACTGGGTCTTCGAGGAATAGTATTAGAGATTTCAGCGTTGTGCGATCTCGAAACCATAACAAAGAACCACCAGGTGTCGTAAATTTTGAACGCAGTTATCAAATCTGCCAAGCTGTAAGTTAATTTTTTTATTTTTATTATCTGTTCTCAATTATATACGATTTCAAATAAAAAAGGATTTTTTTAAAATAAAATTATTTGGCTGCATTTTTTTGGTGTTTAAATTTTAGGTTTATTTATTAGAAAAAGATATATTAATTATCACGCACTTGAGTTAATATTATATTATGTGCACATCAATTTTAATCATTTTAACAATTTAGTAACTATTAGCACTGGATGTGTGAAATTTTACAATTATAGCAAATACAATAGAAATTAGTACAGTGCATGACCCTCAAACTGACATATCAAATGATGTGACTTCGTTCCCATATGATGTAGACTTGGGGGGTTATGGACCAAACGCTCTCGAATTGACGTTGAGGAGCATAGGAACACTATGCGAGGATCAATTTGTAAACTATGGGTATACCTGTTATACCAAAGCTAAAAGTGTATCGAAGCAAATAGTTTGATCTACTCAATTTTCGTTTTGATTGCATTAGTGATCTAAATAATATGCATATTTAAATTTTGTACTTTTATAGCACTGCGTGGTCAAGTGGGGTCCGATTCATTAGACTTCATATATGCTTGAGCTTATGAATTATTCTTAAGCTATTAGTAAATTGATGAAATCATGAAAAAAAGCTAGCTACTAAAAATTTATGACAAATCTTGTGATCGATTCTCTTTTAAATTTTGCATGCTATTGAAGAACATAAATTATGAGGTGATAACGCCAAGATAATTTTTTTCACATAAGATATTTGGTAACATCTAAGATGATTATCTTCATTTGATCAAAAAACTTTTTTTTGGCTTCAAAATTAACTCAAAAATTATTCTTAACAATAAAACTTTACGCGATAACCTCATATTTTATATACTTAAATAGTATGTAAAATTTGAAAATAATTGATTGTTAAGTATTTCAAGCTGGCGTGAGGTATATACAGTTGATTCTTCCGAAATCTGCTTTTTTGCGTATTAAAAATGAAAAAATGGTGAATTTTTTTTCAAATTGAACGGCGCAAACCAGTTTACCTATTTTTAAACCATAAAATATGAGTTATCATTGAATCTGTGGTCTTGAGATTTCGTTTTACGAAAACTAGATCCGATTTCATGCTTAAAATTGATTATTTTTGGTTACAAATCGCTACTTTAATCAACTAAGTTTGAAAAATAAGAAATGCACAAAATTTCCCGTACTACCCGAAATTTGGTCATGAAAGACGAGTCGTTTGACGATGCGAGCGGTTAAAAAGCTCATGATATTTATGTCCACGAATGTGATCTTTTTTTTATCAAGCACATGAATTAAATAAAAAGCATTTTTCAAGGCCCTACGATACACTTAAACTTTACTTTAAATGTATGGAAGGTGGTCTAGTAGTTATTATAGGCTTAGATGATTATAAAAATTCATGGTATCCCCAATGAAAATATTTTATAAGTTCTTAGACAAGATTTTAAAAAGATCTTGTATAAGATCTTATGCAAGAACTTACGTATGATAATCGACTTTGTAAGTTCTTGCATAAGATCTTGATAAAACTGGAAGACTTCAGGTAGCAAATTCTTAGGAAAGTTTTTGATTTCATTACTAGACTTGAAATAACAAGTTCTTATATAATTTGAATTTCATGATTGTGATGAAGTTTTACTATTTTATCAAGATCTTATACAAGAACTTGCTACCAGATGTCTGACAATTTTATCAATTCAAGAACTTACAAGGTCGATTATCATACGTAAGTTCTTGCATAAGATCTTATACAAGATCTTTTTAAAATCTTGCCTAAGAACTTATAAAATATTTTCATTGGGGATGTGCAAGTAGAGTTGGTTTTGAGATCTAGACATGACATGGAGGTGACATTTGGCATATATATTTCCATAACATTTATACTGGCACTAAAATATTGAAATATTCATGTCCAATCAGGAAGAATACAACAATATTGAATGAATGACGGATCCAATTTTGGCTTATTTTTACTAGTTTAAAACATGGCATGTAGACTTGCACAACGCAGATTTCGGGAAAATCAACCATATAGTATCATTATGCAGTTGCGCTTACTATTTAAGAATACTTAAATCAAAAATAAAAACTTGAATTATACCAATAAACTAATACCTCCCATCTCAACAAGCATAAAAAATAATGAACGTAAAATAACTGTAATTTTTTACATATTAATACTGTTTATTTGAACTATTCATTAAAACTAGCTCATTTTTTCTTGTAGATGGCACGATTTACATTACGAGAACAATGCAAAAATTTTCTAACAAACTTTTTTTTTAAATAAATACCCTATGTGTTATTTTCAATGATAATTTGAAGTAATCTGAATTCATATTATACTAATACTGAACTATTATTATTCATTAAATTTTCTTCATAAATTTAAACTTTATATGATTGATCTAGGTAATTGCTAAATCGCCAAATAGACATCAGCTTCAAGCTCACTTGAAACCACCACCGAGTTTAATGTCAAAAGAAGAAAATTCTCGATTGAATAGTTCATCACAAAGTTCTGGTTCAAGTCATTACGTGGATACCAAATCTTACTTCGTAAATAAAAATCAAGTTACTGAAAAAAAGATTACCAAAAACAAAAAAGAACTTCATAAATTTAGCGAAAAGAAAAGGATGGAAAAGGTAATCATTTTTAACTAATTGTTATTAAAAAATTACTAGAAATAAAATTAAGTATTCATAACGTGTAGACTCAGAGTTGACGTACTTTACAACATGAACGCACTTACTTGATTTATGTGTCGGTTGTCTGGCACTTCATTTACTCTGACTGTTCAGACTATAAAGGCAGTTTCTCCACGAAATAATTTTCTCTAAACTAATCAAGGGCTAAGTACAACAAATTACAATTAAGGAGGCTCTACACCAATCATAAAAATAGTACAGCGAGGCATCTGTCTGTCTCTTCCTCGCATTAGGCAGACAACCGCTCGCACTATTCGAAATCAATGATTTTACGCACATTTTGTTTAATTACTCATTAGTTAGTTCGGTAAGGGGTAATTTTTAACATACCAATCGAAAGCTTGGAACTTTCTCTTTCAGAAAATATATTTTTTATTAAGATGGTTGATCTTTTAAATTAGTTATAAACAATAAAAGACCTTGTCCCATAAGAGCCCGTGTTAAAATCGCCATTTTCAAACTTGTTTATCTCGAAAGTTTGATCGTCAACCACATGTTTTTTTTGGAATCTCATTTTGAAGATCTCACAAATCGATTGATATAAGTTTTATGTTGTTGGATGATCTAATGTATTATGTGTAGAGCCTCCTTAAGTACAACAGTTAGACTAGAATAATTTGTAAGTTTAGTCGTTGATCAAGAATATTTTACCGATAATCTTTGGAAACTGTTTATGGGATCGCAGAAACATGAGAAACTGTAGGAACAAGTAAATTTTCCATGGGTACTTTGTCTGTAGCTATGGTTGTGTTTGTAAATAAGTATTAATTTCCAACAAATGTCTGCATGTATGTAAATGGTCTTTTCCACGTCCCCCTTATTTCGGAAAAGTACCCGACATAGGAGTGAAGTGATCTACGTTATATCATGATCCCGATCATGACAATCTGCCTCGGCAGTGTCAAGTCTGGCCTTTGTCATCAAATTGTAAATGCCCTAACGCTACAGCTTAAAAGAGGATTTAGAAACCTCTCCACCTTAAACAAAAAATTATTAATATCCATACGAATCAAGGTCCTTTATAAACGTGCTATCAAGAAGGACATTAGCAAAGAACTTTTCACCTAGCTAAGTGCCTCTGACCTTGACCAAGACTTCGCAAACAATCCTGGCGTTTGCAGGAATGAGGACCACCACTATCGCCTTGCCTGATAACCTCGCTGCTAAGGTGATCCAGTTCAACCACATATGAGGCCATTCAAGAACAACTTAACAGTTTCCGAGTTCACTTCTTTAAGTTACTTCACATATTGTACCGAAATCAAGTACTTGAGCTGAAAGAACTTGTAGTAGAATCAGAGAGCATATGGCACTTAGGCTGAATGGAGAGCCAAACAAAGCTCTCAAGATCGCGATCGTCTCGTACTTTGACCTCTTTCAGAGAGTATGTAAGGCGTGCCTCTAGAACTGAGATAAAGGCTAATTTTACTACCAAAACTGTTTATTTAAATGAAGCATTATAAGTTATAACGGGAAGTTGATCCGTAGGATCCGTGGGACGTAAAGGCAGATTGGGTTTAGCTGAGGAACTAGTCGTGCTTATTAATTTTACTATAAATCGATTTATTTAAAATTAAAGCTAAGGACACACAAAATAATTAGAATTGAATCAGGCAATGGCCTGTGTAAATAAATACAGCAATAGATTAAGTTGGCTTATGCCAAAGATAGGACACACGTGCACGACTATGATCTCGGCGAGCCGTTGCTCCGCTCAGTATGCGAAGAGAGAGATTACTTTTTAAGTCGAACAGGTACTTACAATTGGCAGTCGGCCTCTCGGGATGGCTCGCTTGGCACCCTCGTGTCGTAAGGCACTTGTACAAAACCCGTGACTCGACTTTGACTCGAATATGCAATCGTGACTTTACAATTAGTTAATAAGGCCAGCGTATGCCTATCAACGTAGTACGCGGTATAACAGCTCGTAACAGTCTCGGCTCGTGGCCTTTCAATCATAGGCGCGAGCCCCGAAAATCTCTCTCCCCTCTCTCCTCGCACACCAACGGTGCCGCGACTCGTCGATCAACGATCCGTCGTGCTAAAATAACATCATATAATATTTATAATTATTATACTTAATAACAATTGCTGGGAGAGAGTCTAACGAATAATATATTCGTTACAAAGTCGCGTTAAGTACGTGGATAAGTGACCGCCAGGGAACCCATTCCGTCAAGAGGATAGCGTCCTCACAGATCGCTCAGCAGTGTTTGCCAGCGTCATCATGTGCTAGCGGGAGATGCAATAAAGGCACCGACCAACTCCGGTATGGGTTTTTCTCACTGAGTTGTTTCCCATATCATGGGCATAACCCCAGGCAAATGCGGGGATGGATGGATGTAAAGATAGGAAAAGGATAGATAAAAAATGCTTAGGGTAAAATGGAAGGTAAAAAGGTTAAGGAACATAGGATAGGTAAAAAAGTTATGAAAAATTGAAAATAAAGGTATAGGTCTCCAGTACGGAGGGCACTTTCCAGGCCAAAAAGGCTGACGGTGTATTACACCCCCCCGCCCCCCCTCCCCCCATATATATATATTTCGATTCCGATGGACCTTCCGATGAGTAGTATGGTTTTCCAAGGATGATAAAATATTAACGCCATCGAGTTCATTATCTTCGCCGCTTGTGAATATAACTAAGGAGTACAGCGCTGTAGGTACCTTAAGGGGAGTCATACACCAATTCACTCCTCTTTGTCATTTTTTTATATAAACTACAGTTTAATGTCAATCTACATTTTCAACATAAAATTGACATCCTTAAGCCCTAAAAAATGTAAAAAAAGTTGCATGACAGGCCTTTGCATCTAAAAATAGCTCATTTTTGCTATTTTAGCCTTTCGGCATTGTGTGCAAGGTTCAGATCAGAGTTTTTGATGTGGGAGGTCCTGATAGGTCTCAAAATCTTCAGAAAAGTATCTTTTATGGGCTGAGTTTTGTGGAATTTTAATTTAGACCTTGATATCAGTCCTATTATTCAATATGTGTTCAAAAACATTGATATCTTTTTTTTATATCTTGCTTTTTCACATCTGTTGGCATACAAACTTTTTTATAACTCTAATCAAAATTCCACAAAACTCAACCCATAAAGGATACTTTTCTGAAGATTTTAAGACCTATCAGGAACTCCCACCTCAAAAATTTTGATCTGAACCTTGCGCACAGTGCCGAAAGGCTAAAATAGCAAAAATGAGCTATTTTTAGATGCAAAGGCCTATTCTGCAACTTTTTTCACATTTTTAGAGCTCAAAGATATCAATTTTATGTTGAAAATGTAGATTGACATTAAACTGTAGTTTATATAAAAAAAAATGACAAAGAGGAGTGAATTGGTGTATGACTCCTCTTAAACGTTACTAAGGTGTTGAACTCGGCACGATGGAACGAAACCCTCACTGCATCACGCCGAAAAGAAACACTCAATCATCAACTAGAGATTATTGCTAGTAATTATTTCTTGGATTATTATTTATCGATTGTTTAACACCGATGACGGTCCAGAGTCTTGCGGCGTCAAGGTAGGAATCCTGCAAGAATTAAACCTGGGCCTAACCTTATGGAACGTAATGAACGACGCCATCCTGTACCTGAACCTTGAAGGAAGCACACATAGTCGGCTTTTCAGATGACATCGTCATACTCACTACAGGCAAGCACTCGTTTAAATTCGAAAATCACCTCAATAATAACAGGAGGGAAATATCAATTATCATCAACACAGTAGGTGACTGTAATATAATCTTAACTCCCCAAACTCGCTACTTGGATTTACAAATGGACGCCACAATGCACATCCATGTATTTTTAAAATTAAAAATAAGTTTATTGAAATCGTTATTTGGGTCTACATTCTAGCAATCAGCCTATAATTCTACTCTATCTACAATCTAATATCTAGTATCAAAATTTAAATTGAGTACAAAATTACGATACGTTTCTTCAATAGGTATTTTAGGTTTAGTAGTTCCATATCGATATATATTTTGATTACGTATTTTTGATACAAACTTTTGATACTTAAAGTACGTATGTACTTTCAATACATATCAAAAATACTTATTTATTTTCAACAGGAGCATGATTATTTTATGAAATAAAGAGCATCCAATAATGAATATTTTTGGGCAAATTCATTGACCAATGTTCCAGATAGGTTTGAATATTTTTCTTTCTAGTCAGTAAACGATATCTATGATACTTTACCTTAAACCTTCCACATCGGCTAATTAGAGATAATTCGACGATGGCATTTTATCATTTTTTGAATACCAAACCATTGAAAAGCAAATTTACTTTTTCACTTTAAATTTATTTTTACTCGTTAACCATCAACTTAATGTAAAAATTGTGTAGAATGAAAAAAATGCTTAATTGTTTAAAGTACATGTAAAAATTTTTTTAATTTTTCTGACCTTTACCTGAATTTAGGAATGATGATCGACCGATTTCGAATAATCCGCAGCGCGCCTATCGAACTCGTTACGCTCGTGCGTTGACCTCACACGGCGAGGCTATTATGAGCACCTTATATCTCACCAAAGGGGGCCTTCTTAGCACAGTACTATAAAAAATTATACGATACTTGTGACTCGAGTAGCCCATTCTGAACATGGCCCTAGCCTAGCCAATCGCGCCCTGTAACAATGGCTCACTCAAGTCGCATGTATCATAATATACTAATGTTATCTCTTTTCATAGTGTCTGACAATTAGATGTTTTTTTGAAAATATAATTTCCAACGTGGGTAAAACTTTTTTCTCCTCGAATTATATTGTTTACAATTTATATTATTAAAAATCAAAGAAATGAATTAAAAAATAATCTATATTTTGATATTAAATTTTTAATTATTTTATTTCCATAGATCGATAAGCATGTCGAGCCGGATCAAAACTTCGAGCAAATTAGTAATTTAAATATGACTCGATCGTCATCGGCTCCTCCACTACCACAGCAAATATCTGGTATGTGTTTTAGAGTACATTCAACACGTGGAAGGCCAGCTAGTGTTGAAAGTGGATTCAATCTTGCTACCTTAGATATTCCAAAAAATCGCAATAATGAGCCAAGTGAAAAAATTACTTGTGACACTACAAATAAAACAACCCCTACTTGTGATTGTGGGGTTCAAGGAGCGATGATGATATGTAAATTATGTGGAGCATTTTGCCATGATAAGTGTTTAGGATCACAATGTGTATGTGCAGTTTGTCTTGTTCCATAAAATTAATTTTTTTTGTATAAATATCGAGTATTAATAAAATTGACCAATTGTATTTATATCAAATTAATTTTCACAAATTATACATCAGATACTTCAGCAACGATTTTCTGTTGATGCATCTCTCTAAATACATCTATCATTTTTATTGTTCTTATTTTTGATCTTATTATCTTTTATCTTTTATATACTTTATATATATTATATTATATATTATATTATATAATATATTATTATTTATATTATATTTATATTATATAGGGTGAATGCGCCATATTTCGGACACTTAAGAAAAAATATTTCTTTACTCATTTACAGAGCTTGTGCACGACTTTTGAAAATTTTCTAAAAATGCCTTCTGATAGAAAAAAAAGTAACCTTTCAAAGGAGTGCATGCACTTGGCCAAAAAATGCTGGTGATATTTTAAAAATATAATTAAAGCCAAAAAAATACGAATCGTCCATTTTTCGACCACCTCACTGAGCCGTCAAAGACCCTGAACTTGGAACTCGGTTAAATTTTTATTTTCGACATCTAATAGCATAATAAATGAACATAAGTGTCCAGAAGTGCACGAGGAACCTATTGTCGATTTTCAAATTGAATAAAAAACTTTTTAATAAAAATTATTAAGGATTAATGTAACGAACACTGGATGAATGATTGTATAGAAAAGCCCAATTTTCGACCAGGTCAGAATTATAAATTGAGTAACGAAAAAGATCTAATCATTTTCAAGGGTACTAAGAATTTCCTCTGATACAATAACATTTATAGAATCGAAAAAATATTTTATTGCGTCAAAATTTCGCATATATTTCTATTTATTTGAATAATATCTTAGGGTGGCCGAAAATTGGATGGTGGCTAGTTATAGGCACATTCACCCTATATTTTATATTTTTATTTTATAATATAAAAAAAAATGTCCGAAAACGACCTCTGATTGGCTGACACTGACGATGACTGACGCTAGCCGACTCGATACGAGAGCCTGCGCTGCTAACTGTCAACAAGCAGTTAGTACTTAAGTATCCTCAAAACACGAATGAAAAAATCGACGCTCGCAAAGCGCATCTGAAACTTACTATCTCTGAATCTTAAACTTGCTTGAATGCATCTCAAAAAACTTCAAATAGCCGGACATACTAGGCACAAGTGCCGACATAAGCACCGTACAAATTTTTTCTTGAGCTTGAGTACATGGTCGCGTGTAATGGTCTGTTTGTATTGAACAATTAAGGTACAGACAGCAGAGAAAGCACTGGGCCCACTAGCGACGGCAGGACGGGGAGGAAATGAGCTGAGCCGACGAACCTCCTGGACGTCAGTCATGGTGTTGTCTGCTCCAATTAGTTTCAGGATAGAGCAGCATGGGCGGCGAAGATCCTTACCAACAGTGGCGACCATGGTGGAAGGAATACCCACGATATTCAGCTCGGTGCAAAGCCTTATCGTTTTCAAATAGTGTTGAATTTCGCACTGGCAAGTCTCAACCACACAGATGCGCCGCAAGAGGTCTCCCAAAGTCTCAATCGCCGCGTTAAGTTTCTTATGCGAGGCAGCGGCCCCGGTCTTCAACTCATTACAAGTCGAATCGACCTCCTTTACATACTCATCTGACCTGTAGGTTTCGGGTTGACAGACATGCTCGAGCAAGAAATTGGTTGTACAGGCACCCCAACGGTGCCGATGACACGCCGCAAATCAACACTGAACATGCGCGATTCAGAACGCGAGACCGCAATCGTATGGGCCACACTCTCACGCCGAGCAGTAAGAACCTCAGCAGGTACAGCACTGAGCGTAACTGAATCGGTTACAATCAGCTTTCCACACTTCCTGTATTTATTATTCTGCATCGGCAGAGTGAAAATTTCCGTTGTAAACGACACGATCAGGTCACGGTACACAAGTTTTGTCTTCCGTTACATAAACACAGAAAATCCACATACCGGGCACACGATTCACAGGTAAACAGATCTAACACGGCTAACACAGAACCACAATAAATCAACTAATTTTGGAATTTTCACTCTTAGGTTAAGGAAACTTATTTTTTAACTTTTAAGGCACCCGCAGCAATCTGACAGCCAAGCAACTGCAACAGTCAGAACCCTGAAGCAAGAGAGAGAGAGAGAGAGAGAGAGAGAGAGAGTTACGCTACTCATATACACTGGGTGAACATTAATTTTGTCCGATGGAACCCTATGCTTACACACGTTCCACCACTCTAGTGAACCGAACAGAATTAACGCTCACCTAGTGTACACAACATTGGCTTTTTCGCTACCCATGAAAACTCTTTTTCACTCTCATTTGAATTTGATAATAGATATCCTTGAAAAGTATTATGGATTGTTGGAGCAAAATGCAATCTAACGATGAATATAAGGTCCCCAAAAATGTGTGTTAATAAGTATTGAAATAAAAAAACACAAAAGAAAAAAACGCATCGAAAAAAATGTTATTACGAAAAAAGTGGTTAGACCAAAAGCGGGTAGTCAGACCAAATTGGCTATGTCCACATAAGTCACATAGCTGCTACAACGTTGATCTATCATTAAGCAATTAATGTTAAAGCAGAGATGCAGTTATATACATGTTTCACACATGGGTGTGCCCGCCGAGCTAGATACTTGGACCTAAACAACAGCGCTAACTACACTTTCACGATGTACATTGTGCGGTGAAGAAAGCGATTAACCGATCTCAACTTTTCGAGGTCTGAGTATCTAACTCGGCGGGTGTACGCCATTTTTTATTGTTTCATATATTTTCAGATTGACTTTTTTTTACGTAACACGAAAAACCAAAAAAAAATCCATAAATATATTTGCCAATAAAAACATGGTAGATCGTTCAATGCGCTAGGCCGAATTCTGAACTATATAATATACCTATATTATAGGTGTAGATTTTTGCGAGAACGCTGCGGTTTTTTCATTTGACTAAGTAAAACAGGATGGCTCGCTTAGAGCCTCAGGTCGCAGTCTAGATTCGGCAACGACTTTCTCCGAGGAGGTCCAGATTTTTTTTATAACATTATCCCGCTGGGTGAAAGCTCGGTACACCTGGTATAAATCCCGGATCCAGCAAATGACTTTCCACGCTAGGAAGTCGACGTTTTTTCACGAGAATACCCCCTCAGGTGGCACGATCGGTACCCCAGGTATAAATTCGGACTTGGCGACGACTATTCTCGAGAAAATCGCGATTAACTATGCGACTAATTTGGGTGACTCTGCAAGCTCTAGCTGATAGCTCTAAACGTTTAGGAATAAAATCAAAATATTAATAATGCAAAGAATCCTAATTTGGTCTAAAAAATAATTATACTTTGGCATAACACATAAAAAGTTTACATTTTTTTATCTCAAATTTGAAAATTTGACTAGTAAGTGTAAATCCGTTTTCTTAGATACGTGTTCAATTTGAAACTCCTAGTCTTAAAAATAATTAAAATAAACTTTGAAATTCATAAATGCAATTATTGACTTACTTGATAAAACAGTCAAACTAAAATATTTATTTCACAAAGTAAAACGATACTCTAAATAGTTTATAATAAAATAAAATAAAATATTTCAAAATCGCGATAACACTTTTTGTAAAAGATTATATAACTAGGCCTTTTCTTAGTGCACACAACTGAAAATGATATTTTTCTTTAATTGTAGCAGACTGAAACGTTTTTAACGTGTAATAGCGAAAGCTGAAAGAGAAGGCGTGAAAGTTCAATGATTCAGATGAATAAAACCGAGCTCACAAAGTCCAAAAAGTGAAGGTAAGGGGTGCAGATTGATTTCGAGTTTTTTTTCGTAGAATCAATTAGTGACATCAAATAATCAATTAAGTTACTTTCTAGCGTGAAAAATCGTATGGCGTTTTTTCGTCATAGTATTGAAAAATCGATTTCCCCGGTAAGAATGGCACTCATTTACCAAGTTGCACGGAACATCGCTCGTAAGAATTGTTCAATTTTCTTGATCTTAAAAATGAAAAACTCTATAGTTACGATCCTTTCTAAAGTCCTTATAGCCAAAGGCTAGCCAGGAATGTCATATTCGAAAATCAAAAATGTCCTAAAAAATTTTCTATCCTAAGAAAATTAAATTAAAATCGAAGCATTATATACTGAAGGTACAACACCTAGAGTGTTTGACTGTTGATTGACAACGCTTCAGTTTTCTTAAAGGTACAACAGACTAGTAATAGTGCATGAAAATACTGAATGATTTATCAACACCAATATAGATAGTTTCACCCTAAGAAGCAGTTTTGCTCTTTTTCAATATATCCTACGTGGTGTAAAATATGTAATGAAAAGGAAAATTTAAAAATTTCAAGACAATAATTATTTTTGATTACTGTTTGTAGTAGAAAAATTTAATAATAACATCATTATTTAATTAATCATTAATGTACACAGGATGGTTATTGTCTTACAGTAAAATGAATAAACTAAGGTAATAATTATTCTGAACTTTATCATAAATTTGAACGAGAGTTATTCAAACTCATTACAAGAAAAATTTAATATTTGATAGGTCAAGTAGATGTTAGAAAATAAGATTCATCAATTTATAAATATTTATTGCTGTTTTTCGGCCTCTCCCATTTTGTATTTCTGTTTTTCCAATTGCAATCTGAAAAAATGAGAAAAATTTTAAAATTTATAATGCATTACAAACAGGGCAAAAATAGTATAAACTATTACATTAGAATAATTAAGTATGTTATAACAATGGAATCATAAATGAAATAAAGTGACAAGTCACATTATTTGGAATTAAATATAAATTAATATCTTTGAGTAAAAACTATGCTTGCTACTAAAACTAAAACTATATGTGTGCAAAATGAGTAGCTTTTTACATTTGTTGCATGATTACTACATTTCAAGAAAAAACTTTTTAAATATATGTATTATAAGATCCTAAAAAATAGTAGTGTGATTAGTTGTAATGTTAATACAAAAATGTATTTGATCCTTAGTTACAGTGTTTCCATAGATTTTGACATATGTCAGTTTTTGGAAAATGAGAGTGGTCTGTATATGGACAGATTATCAGGTGGGGTGACAAAAATAGTAATATTGGTAATTAAGAAATAAGTTGGAGTAAAATTTGAAAAATTTTGTTACTTTGAAAGATCTCATCAATTTTGCATCAAATAACAGCTAATCAAATCAAATGACAATATAAATAAACAATAAACATTTGAACTTATAATTATTATGTTCTATACATACGATATAAAACACATTTAAATTATATATAATATCAAAATAAAGCTTTTTATTATTAGATCTCTTACATCTTCTTATTAAATTATATATAAGATTATTGATAAAAAATTTGTTTGTATCTTTATCTACAGCACAACGCTATTTTTTTAAAGTTGAAATTAGCTATAGCCTAGGCTTTTTTATATCGGGGATATATAAGATTTACAAATACCATAAATCAAAAATTTGCCTGTATTTAAATAATTTAAAAATCTTCTTTCATATTCAAAAACTTTTGGTGATGTAGGCTATGACAAAAGTTCTAAAGGCAACGAAAATGAATTTCGTCACAAGAAACTGATAAAAACAATGTATTTTTAACCATTTACTTAGTTGTTATGAAACATTATAGTTTAGACATTTTTTCATAAATCAAGTATGACAAAAAAAAATAATATATTTATAATTCTAAATAGAATATACTTGGTGCATATCGTTTTAAACTTGTAGCTAATCAGTATTAATTTAAGTAATTAGTATTTATAATAGAGTATTGTAAAATTGAAAATTCATTCCATGCAAATATAAATTAATTTTTTTTTCTAAATATGAGTAAAATGTTACAACACTACCCAATTATCAACTTGTAATTTTATTTATATTTAAAAACTGAAAAGATTTCAACTAATTCTTTTGTATAATCATTCATAGTCAAATTATTAAAATTAACCTCACTCTACCTGAACTCAACAAGTATACTAATTTTTGTTTTAGGTGTATTTTAAAATTACTGAGATTGACTTATAACCATGTTAATAAAAAATACATAATTTTACCTTAACTGTCTACCAAAATCATCTTCAATATCATCATCATCCCAATTATCTTCCCAAACACTTATGTCCTCTCCATCTTCATCTTTAGACGTCCAATCTAAATAAATAAATAAAATAGTAGTTTCATTGTTTATTTTGCAAATGAATTACATTATTTCAAATAATTAAATTTGACATGATTAATGTCACAAAAATAATATTGTTGTTAGCATGTAATTGAGAGAATATAATCAACTTGTTTTGTATCATCCAGTTATTTAAACAAAAGATAGATATTACAAATGATTATACCTTCAGCAGGAAATTCTTCAAATTCATCATCTTCTTCCAAAAGTCCTAGATCTGTTTTAACTTTATCCATTTTTAAAATTTTCTGTCCGATAAACAAATTAAATATTGGTTATCCGTAAAACCTAGGTAGCGATTATCTCGGGTATAAATACGCAGAATACGCAGAATGAGAATCCAAATGTAAAACTTCTGGTAAAATTATGCGCCGGACACCTAAATGAATAGTATGCTATTTTCAATAGTCAGCGCCTCATTTCAATGTGGCGATCCCTTAACAATTATGAAAACCTAGTAGTTACTGCGTTCATTCAATTTTAAAAGTTCTCATAATACATTTGCAACATACGACTTCAAAAAAACATATTTCCAAAAAATTGTATAATTTCTTAACATTAAAAATCAACAACAATTTTCTGAAACATTATTTTCTCATATTTTTTATCAATCAATTATTAAATTGGCGCATTGTAAATTGGAGTCCACGCGATTCATAAACTGATAAATTGACTTTTAAAAAATATTGACTAAAAAAATACCGCGAGCGAACAAATAAAGTGAAAAATAACCTTATTAAATAATTCTATATTATTAAAAGTAGTTTTTGACTATTTCCATGAAATCAATTAAATAGGCAAAATTCCACTATATTTAGAGTGCAAATTGTTATTCAAGATTATGACTAAATATGTTGAATTTGTCGGTATATGCTCAGATTTCGTTCCACATTGAGAAAATAGAGGCGCTCTGGTGTTGTGCAGTTCTTAATTCTAGAGTGACTTTTGCGTTTGCATCTTAACACCTTTCGTCTGTTGCCGACAACTACGATATTCGTGTATCGTTTAAATTTTGCACATCTGCTGAATCAAAGTTTATTTCGTTAAAAAAATGTCGAACCATGTTATTTCTAAAATTTGGCAGGACTATAAAAAAATCACGGAACGAAAAACAATGATTATTGATGCATATTTACTGTATGTGCTTATTACTGGAATCATTCAATTTATATACTGTTGCTCAGTAGGCACATATCCATTCAACAGTTTTCTTAGTGGATTTATATCTACCATCTCTTGCTTTGTTCTTGGAAGTAAGTTTAAAATTTTTCCATACTGGCTCTACTTTTATTGCTAGTTAAAGTATTTCCATATAAAACATATTTTGTACGTAACACCTATTTTTAATTATAATTTAGTCTAGAAATTACCATTGGTTCTTGTTGTATCAATACTGCTGAATACTTAATTTTAAATTTTTGTGTCACAATTAATTGCTGTTCAGAACATCTATTTTTTCATATAACAATATCATAATATTGTTAAACTTTAATTGATATATATTCAGGTTTAGTCCAATAAAATTATCCTGATGTTAAATAAAATACTTAGCTCTATTTAAACTTTACATGTCAGAAGCACATCTACCAAAAATTTTGTCTTATTACAATTATGATATTTGTGTGGTTTTGATTCTTGGTCTATGAAAAATAATTAAATGCACAACAATTTTTTGATAACTTCATAATAGCTGGCTTTAATTAAAAAAATATAAAATATAAATTAATGAATAACTGATTAAGAATCACAAAAAATTAAAACTCTCATAAGTTACCAGACCAATTGAAAATTAATCATATTTTTATTAAATTCACATTTTTAAAATAGCAAAAACAAAAATTCAACCAAAAATGAAGCAGACCCTCAAGTTTTATTTCTGATAGTTCAATTATCCTAGTATTTATTGCATATAAAGAGGCCAGAGTAAAAGTCTGTTCCCTTTTGATTAAATATTCATTTGTGTTATATTATTCAAACTTTTCAAATTTTAATGTTTTCTTATTAATAAATTTTTTATTCATTAGAGATTTAAATTTTTTAATTGAATTACTAAGTTTGTTAAATTTTAATTTTTTTTAAAGAATTTGATGTTTCATTTTTAATGGCTGCTTTCAAACGCTGTTCTGAAACCTGCGCATGGGGTCTTAGAATATTCCTGAATTTTAGTATTTTTTATGACATGTCGATAGTAAAACCTGCTGTCACAAATTCTAAAATTTATCGATTCTATGTGTAATTTTACTTTGAGAAATTCCTCAAAAAATTAATGGAAATAAATTTCAACAATGTGAAGAAACTTGAATTATTTAAGAGTTTTAGTTTCCAGACCAAAGTATGTTTTTCAAATGGTTTGGTTTACAGCTTTATCTCAAATGATCTATATTTGTTATAATGATTGATTTCTATATTCTGGTGCCACGACTCATGGATACTGAAAAAAATTTAAAGACAGGCCTGTTAGTGCTAATAACAAGATAAAAATATTCTGTTCTGAAATTTAAAACAGCATGACCAAAAAATAATATTATTTAAAATTTCGTGAATAACTTTTGGCTATGTTAAAAAAATGTATTGTTTGATACATGATACCCAATATCCCCAATGCTAGTTGGAGTTAATTTCTTTGCTTTGATACCTTCAAAAAATATAATTTTTTCTCCTTAATCGAGCATCGAAAAAATTCTCCTCTTCTACCGTCTAAGCGGAGAGCGACCTCGTGCGGCCAGAACTCGTCCGTAAAGCGTTTTATGATACTTAATATTTTATACCTTTGGCCATAAGATCGTTCAAGTCTCCAACTTTGAATGTTATATAGACCTTTGTTATTAGATTACCTTCCAATTAAGATAGCTACGAACAAAATCAAAAGTCAAAAGGAGTATACTTGCTGAAAAATTAATTTAACTGTAAAGTCAACATTCGCCAAGAATATTAACTTTTTACGGAATACTTATACCACCATTAAGAAGAGCAGCCAAAAATCTATCGAAATGAATATGCAGAATTTTTCTCTAGACCCATATGCATCGCACACGGCGAGTTAGAAAAATTGCGATTCATTAAAAAATGTCCCGCCCGAGCGCACTGTTGGATCAAGCGTAAAATTCGTCATATATGCCCAAAATGCCCTACGACTTCTGTTTCCAAAGCTCGTTTTGGAAACCATCATAAAGTTAGCTTTCTCTATGAAGAAGCAAAATTATGGCTGATAAAGCAATAAAAAACGTAAATATTTTCGCAATAAAGCGGTTTTGGCATTATTTTCAACTCCTGACAGGTAATTCATAAATATCTATTTCAATTTTTAATTCGAATTCGTTTATGTTTCAGTGTGCCTGAGACTTCAAGCTTGCAATAGCAATGGAAAACAATTCAATCGATATGGGATAGAAAAAGGATTCGCAGATTTTATTTTTGCTCAAATTGTTCTTCATATTGTTATCGTAAATTTTATTGGTTAATTGTACTCGTATACTTCGTATATTGTAAACATATTTTTATTTTGTCAAATTAATCAGACATCTAGTGAAATAAATATTTAATAAACATCATAAGTTTCATGATTCAGTTTTTCACTGCAATAAAAGTGTATGAGAAACTCTCAAAAAATTTTAGAATTTAATTATCTCTCTTGTTATCTCTTAAATTTCATTAATGTGAGGGGTTGGCCGCCACTGAACGTTTTGTAAAACAATAATAACATGAATTGAATTTCTGCTGTGTGAACTTCAAATTCAAAATTATTCATTTCAAAAGTTATGATAGTTTAAAAATGAAAAAACGTATAAATTTTCCATGTTTTGCACAGTTGTTTTCGTTTAAGCAGTCATAACTTTTAAACTATGCATTTGATCTTGAATCTGGGCCCGGATTTGAAAAGGGCATTAAATTCTACATCAAATTATGTAATTGCGAAGTTTTTCCAAAGTTCAAAACATGTGAAAAATCCCACTGTAAATCCCTACATACTGAGAGTTAATGGGTTAAATGTAAATATCGACTTTAATTTATAGGCACGGTTTTAACCTGTGCCTATAGGTTATAAACCAAATAAATCATGTTTTTATATCACAAAGAAGTGATCTAAACTTCTGGAGCAAGGATTTTTAACGTTTGGGAAATAACGTTTTTTCCACACTCAGTATTAGTTGCCTCTCCTTGAAGAATCTTTCAACACCTTGCAGCATATCCACCATAGTTTCCCTGTTCTTTGCTATAAGTACCACATTGTCTGCGTATGCCAATGACCATATCCTATTTTTGCCAATACTTACTCCGCCTACATTTCTTTCCTTGAAATTCTTCTCCATTTTCGCTATATAGATACAGAACAGTATCGGGCTCAGAATGCAACCTTGCCTCACTCCTTTTATTGTCCAAAAGTCCTCAGATACCTCGTTCTCACACCTTACTCTGCCTTTCGTTTCCTCATACAATTGCTTTATCCTTTCTATCAAATATTCACTTATCCCATTTCTTTTCAGGCATTCCCACAGCTTCTTTCTATTAACCGTGTCGAAAGCTTTCTTCAGATCTATAAACGCTGCATACACCTTTTCCTTATTCTTCTTGGCTCTCTGTATAATATACTTCATCGTAAACAAGTTATCCATCGTTGATCTTCCTTTCCTAAATCCTGCCGGTCCTTCCGATAATATTTTCTTACTTTCTATTTCTTCTACTACTCGGAGAGAAATATCAGCGTTATATTCCAGCACATATGTCCACGGTATACTTCCAATGACAACAGCGAGGAACTATACCTCGCGTCGTAACGACTACTTCGAGTAGCGCTACCCTTTTATTCCCGGCACAGCAAGTAACGAACGATTCCATAAGTCGCGCCGGATTATTCCGGAGAGCGTTATGGAATCGACCGGCTCCCGTATGTATTAAATAATTCGGCTGCTGCGGCAAGTAGCACTGCTCGACTTGCTTATACTACGTTTGCTTCGGCTGTACGACTCGATCACGCGATGCGTTTTGACTCTCTGTAAAACGTTTTTATATTTATTATCAGTAAACGTCATATACTATAGTATTTAAAAAAAACTTCTTAATATATTAATGATAAATTTCATTTTATTTTTTCTTTTACAAAAAATTTTTGTACATTAGCATATAAGAAATCATACCTTGTTGATATCAAGTGATAATATTCTTTCTTTATAGAAATACATGGTGGATATCTGGGATTATTTTTAATGTTTACTAAAATATAATCATCATTTTTTTCAGTTACTTGATGAGCATGATAGAAGTGATTAAATCCAAGTTTTGTCAGAGTCTTAATTTCAAAATAAACTTCACCTTTACAATAAAATATACCTTGGATAATTCCAAATTGTATGCCATCATCGTCGAATTTTAAAAGTATTACAGTATCTTTCTCATACTGTTTACCAAGTATTTCTATGTTTTTTAATCCGCATGCATCATCACAATTAAATATATTATACCGTTTTATGTACAAAACGACGTCTTTTGATTCTTTAGAACCTAATATCGTATCTGTCGAAATATTTTTACAAAATTTTACGTAAAAACTAAATTTTAATTGACTTCGAATAGCAATAGTCAATGGCAAGTTTACGTTAGATGTAGTTCCCAGAGCTATCTCTTTTAATGTTTTATGTTTTCTTTCATACTTCATGCACGAATAATGTACTACTGGCCCAAATTACTCAATGATTCGCGGATAATGAAGCAAAAGGTGCATTTTAGGCATTAAATCACCAAAACATTCTATGTACAGTTCACAATACTCTGAAATTATCTTTCTTAATTCTAATAATTTTCCTTTTGTCATAACAGGATTAAATACTATTCCAATCAATTTACGGTACAACTTATAAACTTCATAACTTTTATTATAATTAACGATATAATCACCAATCATTAGACCTAAGTATCTGCTCAAACAGAGCAATTCAGCCGATGATTGCCTAACTTGTACTCTACCATTTAACATTAACAGAGCCACGGGTTTGTTTTTCTTTTCCGTTCTATTGTAGAGAAAATTGTCAATGCGATTATTTAAATTACTAAATAAAATAACTTACTCAGCAGAAACACCGCGAAAACTTGACTGATAGTTCATGAAAACATTCAACAGACTATAAACACATTCGGCACGATGTACCGCGCGATCGAGTCGTACAGCCGAAGTAAACATAGTATAAGCAAGTCGAGCAGTGCTACTTGCCGCAGCAGCCGAATTATTTGATACATACGCGAGCCGGTCGATTCCATAACGCTGTCCGGTATAATCCGGCGCGACTTATGGAATCGTTCGTTACTTGCTGTGCCGGGAATAAAAGGATGGCGCTACTCGAAGTAGTCGTTACGACGCGAGGTATAGTTCCTTGCTGCTGTCATTGGAAGTATACCGTGGACATATGTGCTGGAATATAACACTGATATTTCTCTCCGAGTAGCCTTCCTCTTATTACTTCCGTATAAATCTTGTATGCTGTCGGCTACAACGAGATTCCTCTGTAGTTGCTTGGATTGTCTACATTTCCTTTCTTATACAATGGCACAATTATTGCTGTCTTCCAGTCCTCCGGGATTTCCTCTGCTTCCCATATCCTGTCTAGTAAGCTTTTCAGCTTTTTCCTTAGCATCCCAGCATTGCTCCAAGCCTCATTTTGTATTCCATCTAATCCTGGCGCTTTTCTTTTCTTCAGTTTGTCGATAATTTTCTTCAACTCTTCTTCTCCTGTCCTTTCACCTTCATCCTGTACCTTCTTTCTTTTTTCACCTGTTTGACACTCCTCTGTTCCTTCCAATAAATCCATGAAGCTTCTCCTCCATTCACTACTTTTTATGTTACACTCAATTTTTGTTCTTCCTTTTCTTCTCCCTAGGAATTTCCATATCTGTTCTTCGTTCTTCAAACTCCTTAACGCTGCTTCCTCTCTTTCCTTGAAACTCTTTTCCTTTTCTATGCACAACCTTCTCCATTTCCTTTTTTGCTCTAGGTAGTTCTCTTTACTTCCTCTTTCTTGTCTCCATGCTAAATACATTGACTTGACCTTCCTCTTCTTTCTTCCACATTCTCTGTCCCACCATTTTCTATGTCCTACCTTCCACTTCTTTACTGCTATTTCTTTTTTTACTACCGACTTATCCACTATATCCTTGATTTCTTTCCAATTGCTTTCCACTGATCCACTTGTCCATCTATCCTCTGTTCTCTGCCTCATTTCTTCTTCAATATTGTCCTGGAATTTTACAATATCCTCTTCCTTCCACGACGACATGACCTTCACTACTTTAACTTTCTTCTTTCTTCTTCACATAACTTTCTTCACTGCACAGCACCACCTCTAACGACTGATGATCTGACTCTGTCCTTTCTCCTATTGCAAAGTCAGCTACGTCCAACCATGCCTCTTCGTTCACTATTACATAATCAATTACTGATGCTCCCCTGCCTCCTGTATATGTGTACTCTCCTTCCTCGTCTCTTCCTGCATTGCCATTCAAAATTTTCCAACCTTTCCTTCCTATAACCTCCAACATAAACTTTCCTTCGTTGCTTACTTTCTTGTCTTTGCTATTTCTCTTCCTTTCTTCACCTTCCTTGAACAATATATTTTCACCTTCACCAATTCCTATATTAAAATCACCTCCAATCATCACTTTTCCTTTCACTACCTCCTCTTGCTTTTCAAAATACTCTAACACTTCTCTCAAATTTCCTTGGTTGTAAATGGCGTACACCTGGATTTCCTCTCCTATTGATACTTTGACTACGCCTTTACTTACTTCTCTTTGTAATGACGAGTTTTTAGCCCATCGATTACTTAAATAACAATAACAAGAATAAATAATAATATCATATGTTGTCTGCCTGAAGGGCTTGATTCTACTTCGCGGTGTCTCTGGGGTGAGGTGAGGTGAAAAGAAGGATAACACTGAATTTCACGGATTTATTGGATAAACTTATATCTATTATACAATGGTGTGGGCTTACAAGTTATTGGGTATCTTCGGCGGCGTCGTTCGCTGAGCGGCGGATGAGTTGGAAGGCGGTGCGATCTCGGCTGGTCGGCGAGGTTAATGCTGCGTCGACAGGGCGGCCCGGCGTCGGCGTGCTGGGCGACGTCGGTGGTTGCAGCTGGACGAGCTCGCGCACTTTTCGAATAACTGACTAGCACACTGATTCTATCTGGTCGAAGCCAAGCAACAGACTGGCTGAGAATAAGTCGCGAATGAACAAGCCTTGGATGATCGAGCTTGAGCGCACGAGCTTTGAGTGAACGCGCCGTGACTGCCGTAAAAAGAAGAAGCCCGGGACTCCCTCACGTCCCGGTATATATACTGGCTGCTTCTCGGCATCCTCTTTGTTCGGGCGGAGATCGTCGTTGACTTATGTGTCCTCTTGAGCTTGCGGCCTGCGCATTTTTCGCATCCAGTCGTTTTTGCGGGGATTATAAACAAATATTCTAGCGGATGCTCGGGTCGTTTTCCTAATTACTTGGCCCGCTTGCCCGAGCATCGGCGTAAGTCGGGACACGACCTTCGTGGCATCCGGGATTTACCTATT